GGTCTCCAGTAGGCCCGGGGACAAGCTTTCGGGCGTGTTCCAGGATCCGTCCCCTCTCTTCAATGGTGAAGAGGATGCCCAGGAGTTGCTGGCAATCGTCAAAGGTGGGCTGGTGCGTGAAAAGAACAGTCTCTAAAAGGTTAATTAAGTCCTGGGGGTCTTTAGAGAAAGGGGCATTCTGTGCCTTCCAATTATAGAGATCACTTGTGGCAAATGGCCACTAATGGAAGGGCTGATTCCCGTCCTCATCTGGGGGTCCCGCCGGCCTCAGAGGGAGGGCAACTGTGGTGTCTGGTTGAGGGATTGCCCCTCGGCGGCTTCTCGTTGCCTGTGCGGGACCCCGTGGGGGTTGTGGGGCCAAAGCTGGCTCTGGTGGTGCCGCTGTCGGCTGCACCGTCGGTTGTGCCCTAGGGGAGTATGGTGGGGGGAAAAGTTCAGTTTCATCAGTCCCTCCCTGCAGGACCTCAGGCATGCCACCTGTCTGTTTGGCTTTCCTAGCAGGGAGGAAAGGTTTGACCCATGACAGGGGACCTTCAAGCCGATCAATCAGGCCCCGCCAGGTAACTACATATGGAATTTGGTCCGGGTATCCCGAACGGGGTCTAAAAACTATTTCCTCTACTTTCTGGATAATGGCCAGATCAAACGTGCCCTCTGCTGGCCAGCCAACATTAAGAGTTGGCTACTCTGCGGAGCAAAATCTCACCCACTTATGCTTTCTGACATTCACACTGTTGTTGTTCGCCATGTCTCGCATGTCTTGCCAGTGAGCAAGGGTTAAATCCAAGGGGGAAGATGGAGTTATCCCCATGGTTAGTTTAGAAAGCTAATGAACAAAGGGAAGAGAAACAAAAAAACAAACATAAGAACAGACAATAAAGAAATGACAAGGCCTTAACAGATTTCCGGGTGCAACAGAGGGTCTCTGGAACCCGAGCTGACATACACGGATCCAAAAACACAATTCAGTTTTCCTTCTAAGGAAGTAGTTGCCAACCACCATTTTTCATTGGCTGCCCCCAGATGGGGGCATCTGTTGATTATACAGTCACTATGGAAACTAGGGTTGGGACATTCTATGGTCAAGCATTTGCCTAGCAGGCCAGGGAGAGGACATTCCATAGTCCGGCAACCATTACCTCCTGACTATCTTGTGACTCTGTACTTTCACACTTCCTGGTTTCTGGAATCTGGACTGACTGGTTTCAGTAACTTCTGGCCTATTCCAGTAACTTATGGCCTGTAGCTAAAAGGAGCAGCCTTAGGCCTTTAGTTTTTGGGGTGAAAGCATTTTGGTCTTATTTTGGTTCCACAGTAAGACATACTTGGTTGAGTCTGAGCAGCTGTGGCACTGGCGGGTGACAAAGATTTGTCCTGACTGTGGGCAAGGCAGGAAAACTCTAGCTACAAATGGCGCCCAATGTGTTGGCAAGAGTTTCCACATAAAACCTGAGAAAAAAGATTCTAAAACGGAGCTAAAAACAGTTGCTAGTTGTTTCTCTCAAGTTAGCGGCAGCCTGTGTGTTTGAGCTACTATGGCGGTTTTCTGGCGTGTGTGCTTGACCTGCAGTATGGCGGGAATGAGGCCTCTGCAAGTGGCACATTAAGCTGTGTGGTGGATTTAGCATTTGCTAGTACAAAACAAAAAAAGAGGTTTCTGGGCTACACGCTGCTTGGATAAAATCATAGACCCACGATGGCTCCCAGAGCTGGCGGAAAACGTACCACCGCCATGTTGAGAAGCTAAAGTGGGCGGAGCCAGCAGCCACAGAGCCTTTTCAGGCTTAAAAGGCTGTAGTTTAAAGCAATAGTTTCAAGGTAATATAAAAAATAAGCCACATAAAGATGGCTACCACACAGAGAATCTGGATTATGTTCTCTTTGATATTTGTAACTGAAGAAAAACATTTGATTGCAAAAGCTGTTTAGTTATGCCAAAATGTATATTTTAAAGGTACCTTGACTTCAAAATTTGG